ACTGTGTTTTCTCACCACAGAGGACACTTGGAGTTTTCTGAAGAGTGTGATGGCTACTGTTTCATAAAGCATGTACTTATTTGATACATCAAGACATGTCGCTTAAATTCAGGTTTCATTTTCATTTTATTTTCAAAACATTATGAAATGTAATATTGTGAAATAAATAGTATTACCATTTAAAATTTATGTTTTCTATTTTAATATTTTAAAATGTAATTTATTCCTTTGATGGCAAAGCTGAATTTTTAGCAGTCAGTACTCCGGTCTTCAATATGAATCGATCTGAAATCACCGCAACCAATTTTACTTCCTTAATGTGGCATATTTCAGAGTATAAAATGGTATATTCAATACAAAATACAGTTTTCAGTTCAGTACATGGTTTCATACATCCGGAGTTCAGCAGATAATGAAAAGTGGTCTATTATACATGTTTGTGAGGTAGGTTTGGATAACCGAAATCTGAAAAGTGAAGTCTATTCAGAGGGGGAGTATTTTGATGGCATATTACCAAAAAAAAAAATTACACTTTAGTATAGGTACCAATTCTCACTGTTAACTAGTTGCTTATTAGTATGCATATTACTAGCAGATTGGCTGTTTATTAGTACTTATAAAGCACATATTCTGCATGACCATATTCTACATCCTTACCCAATACCTAAACTTAACTACTACCTTATTAACTATTAATAAGCAGTAATTAGGAGTTTATTGAGGCAAAAGTCAATAGTGAGTTAATAGTGAGAACTGGACCTTAAAATAAAGTGTAGAAGCTTTTTTAAAAGTTTTTTTAAGAGATTCATGCAACAATCTATCAGAGTAAGACTAGGAATATGAATGTGTGTTAAATAATTTAAGTTAGTTTTGATTTCATGTTGACTAAAGTGAGCATCGTCTGTATACCTAGTAATGGCCTTATTGAAGGGAAGATATAAAGTTGTTCACATTCATTTGGAAAGTTGTACCATGCAAGTTTTTATTTATTTATTTATTTTATTTATTTATTTTTTTTAGAGCAGATGCTGTGGTAACTTGCTTTGTGTGTTTGTGTAGAGTCACTTACACACTAAATGAACTTTCAAGTGCTGATTCGTTTCTTTGAAAAAAGTTCCAGCTATTGAAATTGCTCATTTAGTAACGTATGGCCTGAAGACGTAAGACATTTGTTAAATTTGACGGTTGAGTGTGGATTACTGTTAATTAATGTGGACAATGTAAGGCTTTTAAGATAAAGTAATTCAGCGCTATGCTTAATAAATTGAATAATCTAATTGTTGCATGGTACTCTCTATCATCACACAAAATGATGAGGTTGCCCTCCAGTCATCTCCATTTGCAGCTTTTTGCTGTGTAAAGTGAAGAGCTACATCAAAAATCTGTGATTACTGCTCCTATCTTAAAAGATATTTTGTTTGATTTGAAAACGAGCCAGGCTTTGCTGTCAGACCTGCTTTTTTCCCCTTATATTTAATATTTATAAAAGTGCAGTACAGCCTATGATCATCAATACTGTGCTTGATGGAGAAGCTGAGGGGGTGAGATAAGGCTCTGTTGACTGGGTTGTTGAAATGGGCGACTGAAGCTTCTGCTATTGGTCATGGTCTGCTCCTCAAAGCAGAGGCCGCCTTTTATCAGGTTAGTGCAATTCGAAGCAGAAGTTCAAAGAGAAAGAACTGAGTTTTTGAGGTTAACCTGTCTGAGGTTAATCCTGGAGACACTTTCTGCTATCAATGAATGTTTCGTCACGTTATGAGTGTTTGGTCAACCATTTAGTGTGGGTCCCGTAGGCTCTAAAGCACTGTAGAACGTCTTACAGAACTTTCTTGTAAAGTTCTCTGTTCTTAAAGGAAAGCAATAATCAACATGAGGCCATGCGTTACGGTGATTTTATCGTGGTTAAGGACGTTTAAGGCCCCGATATACTTCAAACGAAATCGAAGAACGAACTGATATGACGTCATTTCGAACAAAATCAGGCCAAAACGAAGTTCGTTTTGAGTTTGTTTCAGCAGTTCGAAACACCTGACCAAAGCGAACTTTCTGGGGGAGTTTGTTTTGGCTCCTAAACACCTTTGAGCTTCCATTGGTCCGTGGCGGTTACGCAATCGGTGGGTGTGTTCTGAAACTTCACCTTTGACATGCAATTTTTTTTTCCCGGTTCGTTTCTCATTCCACGGAGGTCCGACAGGAGAACAACATCTCCTGTAGTCACTAGCAACATGAACACACTGGAGTATCGAATAGCTCAGCTGTTCGACAAATATACAAATATATACAAATATATCCGCACCTGTACGATCGCTCGCGGAGAGACTTTAAAGATTCAGAGAAAGCATTTAATTCCTAGAAAGAAACTGCAATGAAGCTTGGTGTCGACAACCCGGAGTTATGCAAAAAGCGACGTAGAGAAACATCCGAGACAAGTTTTCCAAAGCCATGAAAAGAAAGGAAGGAAAGAGTAAAGATATAAGGTAGCAAGTACCAAATACATGTGTTTCAAATAAATGTTACACCATACTGCTGCTGCTGTTGTTGTTCTTTCAATAAGCGAATTTAAAGGGTATACAATAAATGAAATGCCAAACGAACATACAATAATAAACCTTTGTTTTTATCATAAGTAAATCATGCCACCACATAAAATATAAAAAGGTGTAACAATTTATCCAGTTTAATCAAATAAATGAACACTAATAAAATAAAGTAACAAACTGACTCCAATATTTTTTCCACATCATGCTAAAGTTTTCAGACTATGAGACATTCACACTTCCCATAAAGGACTGATTATGGAATGGTTCTTTTGTATTGCAAACATGATACTTGACTCTGAACTGCTGCTAATCATTATTCTTTTGTCTATAATATTCTGACCATTGGAGCCCGTCTCACACCTAGATTGCCTACACTTCTTCATTTCATCGATGTTGTGTTTAGGGGATACGCGTGAGCATCGCGACACATGTATGTTTACGTTAATCTACACCCTGCCTCCAGCGGCGCGGGGGTGTTGGAAAGTTCGGAAACAGTATACCGTCACTCAGCCTTTTCGAACTTCTTTTTGCCCCCAAACGAAGAACGAAAACGAACTTCGTTTGAAGTATATCGGGGCCTTTAGGCACTACAGCACAGCCTGTTGATATTAAACAGTAGCAACATGATAAAACACACCAGTGTTCAAATAATGACATTAATTAAAAATAATAATCACAGTAAACAATTATTTCGCCAAGTGATATAGCGAATAAGCCTCATTAACTATATTAATTAATTAGCTGTAGGCTGTTTAACATTCTAATTGTTTGTAGCAACTCAATGCACAGAAAAAAAATCATTCATTCAGAAATTGCTTATATTTTACAAATAATTACAAAGAAACTGCAAGTGACACATTTAACTAAATGTGAAATTTTTAAGCTGAAATAGTGTTTTCTTGTAAAATGCCAATAATCTTTATTTACAATGTCCAAAAATGTATAAAATATAATAAGGCATTAATATAGAATTAAATTCTATATGTGCAGTCACAATTGTGTATATGTACAGCTGCTTCAAATTTGGCTCATCCACCTTCACCAGCAGGATTAATAATGTGTGAGAAACATCTTGATATAATTCTAAACTTTTTTGTAATTTGATAGAGAACTAATTAAAACTGCTGAGATCGCAATCTCCCTATTTTAATGGTTTCTAAATTCTCTCTCCATTTTTCTGGTCTCACATTTTTTCTTTCTCATCTTGTCTATTCATCACCTCACGTCTTGCATGTGTGCTGTAGGATTTATGTATAGCATGGCTGCATTGCAGCTGCATGGCTCTTTGGTGCAGCCAGACCTCAGAGCAGTTCATTTTCACTGGTAGATATCAGAGAGTAGGAACGCAGTTAGTGGTCAGTAATCCGGAGGATAAAACATGCATGATTTACCATGCCTTGTGTCACTGCACCTGTTCAAGGTGTTAAGCAGTACATGTATGCTCACAGAACAGCAGTAGTTTCCATCTATTGAAACATAAGCTGCTGGAAACCCAGCACGACTGTGCTGTTTGAAGTTATGGCTTCTGTGAGAGAGCGGGTGGGTGTTCCACAGGGATTTTATCATCGAAATCTGGTTTCGGATCAGAGAAAAGGCTGATGTTTTTGAATTTTAATGGACAGAGGGGAAATGTATGATGAGTATGAGCTTTAGTGTGCATAAATTGATGCACATAAGATGTTTGTTTGTTTTTTAGATGTACGGTCTCAGAGGTCATAATGAAGATGCAGAAGCCATGTGTGTTATCTATGGGAAATAGATTTGTTTTGCAGCACAGATTTATAGTCCTTCTATAAATAATTTTCTAAAGGAGAGTGGGTTTATTTAACATTAACCAATTCTGCAAGTACTAAGCATGGTTTATCTTTATTTTATTTGTTATTTTATCTTACTTATATTATCTTGTTTGTTTGTTTTTTGCTTAGTTTTGTGTTTTGTTTTTTGTTGATTGTTTGGTGTTTGTTTTGTTTTGTTTTTTGCAAGATGTATCTTGCTCTTTTCAGTAGCAAAATGAAAAACTTAATTCACACTAACATAAAGGTTCACCATGAAAATTTAGTCCGATTTTTGCATGCAGTTGACCAATGGCATGCAGGCTAATAAAAAAGGTAACGTTTTGCCACCCATAAAAACAAATAAACAAACAAAACTTTGTTTTCCCTCAATAAACTCCTAATTTGCTACTTATTAATAGTTAGTAAGGTACTTGTTAAGTTTAGGTATATGGGGCAGGTTTAAGGGATCTAAAATATGGTCATGCAGAATAAGGCATTAAAATATACTTTATAAGTACTAATAAACAGCCAATATGGTAGTAATATGCATGCCAATAAGCAACTAGTTAATAATGTAAATTGGTCCTAAAAAATAAAGTGTTACCACTAAAACAGCAAATAAAACTGTCTTGTTGGACTCCAGCCATATATATTTCTTTAAAACCTACTATGTCTCTTTTTACAGGGTGAAAGCAAAGAAAGGGGTGAACCTCCTTAGCACTAAGTCGAGGATTAACCAGTGGAAGGTTGAATGGGATGTGCAGTCCGGAGCCAAACACTCCATTGCAACCGTGGAAGCCAGCAAGATCAAAGGAGTCCCTGGGTAAGTCAGCTTCCCCGCTTTTTGTACACTGATCTAGGAACAGCTTCCCCAGTGGCAAACTAAGCAGTGTGTAGTGAATGGCAATCTGGTTGCAGATCAGTAACAAAAAGAGAACCTAAGCTTTCATGTTTGACTCATAACATTCACCCACTCAGACATCTGCTAGTTAATCCGATTAACATTCAACTAAAACAGAATGCCGTCTGTTCAGTTAAGAGCTTTGTTTAAGGATGTTACTGTCTAATTGGAGAGGCTTACATTCAATGAAACGTTTGTACTCATATTAATTAGCACTTCCTGTGTATTCTTTCATGCTAAATTATTATTGCAGGGCTTTTCGACAGAAGCAGCACATTAGAAGATCACTATTCAAAAAAGAAACATAACATTCCTTTTGTAACCCGTAATTTGGAATTAATCCTATAGGAATCAAATAAAGTCATCCTAAACAAATAACGAAAATGTGAAAGAATAAAAATGTAGAATGTATCTATTAGGATAATGTTTTCTTCATAGGGGCTTCTTATTTCACCCTATTAGTTTTCTGTAGGATTGATTCTAAATTATAATTCTAACTGATTTCTGACTTTAGAGAGTGAGGGACAGGGAGAGAGAGATTATCTATCTGATTTTTAATATATATTTCTTTGTATACACAAACAATTGAACTAGAAATAGATGCACATTTCTAGAAATCTACAGAACTCTAGTCTATAGAAGCTTTTTATCTTCCATTCCATCATCAGGAACATTGAGTGATTCATCTAGCCAGTAGAGTCAAGTGTTATTTGCCTTTTGTCACGTAGGTCAAGACATGGTGATTGAGAGTCGACATAGAGATTATCAGCAAAGTCATTTGAATTAAACATCATGCTGTTTTGTTCATGTTTCTAAGCCTCTTAACCTCTGTACTTTTTTTTTCTTCTTCTGTATCAAGTGGACCCTGGCATATAATTTTCTTTTTGTGTCAGGCATGTGAAAAGTCCAGGTCACTCACCTGCAACCCTACAATTCAGCTGAATACATGCTACCAGGAAAACTATACTTTTGCAGGAATACCTCCTGCCTTTCCTGGCATGCAGTGTATTCTGAAAGCTGCCCACAGTATGCATGTTTCATCAGGATGGAGCTTAAGGCTAGTTTAAAAAAAAATAAAAATACACTGCCAATTAAGACTATTCAGCCCAGCAAAAGACAATATATAATACTACAGTAGAGAGAAGGTTGTCCAAAATTGTATTAATGTATCTGTTTGTTATTTTATTAATGATCGTCTGACCGAAATCTCTCATGGTAAATACACAATGTCTGTTGTTTGATTTAATATCCATAGCCTTTAAACTGTAAAAAAGCAATGCGATGTAGCATACTAAAACTATTTCAAGCCATCTTCATTTAAGCGCAATAACAAAATAGGAAATCCATTCTAATGGTTTAACGGTGATATACGGTTTGTTACAGAAATATAGGTGTTATATGCTAGCACTGGCTTACATATGAACCAGCTCTTAGTACAAAAATAACCTCGTGATCAACAGATTACTATCCAAATATTTTTTTTATGCTCACCAAGGCTGTATTTATTTGATAAAAATACAGTAAAACCACTAAAATTATGAAATATTATTACAATTTAAAATAACAACTTAATAAACATACGTAATTCATTATTCCTGTGATGGTAATACAGAATTTTCAGCAGTCATTACTCCAGTCTTCAATGTCACATGATCCTTCAGAAATCATTTTAAAATGCTGTTTTGCTGCTCAATAAGCATTTCCTATTATTATCAATGCTGAAGGCAGTTGTGCTGCTTAATATTCTTTCTAGAACCCATGACACATTTTTTAAGGATCCATTATATTGAAGTAATTTTATTATACAGATATTTTACATTTTAGATGCTTTCAATACAATAATGTTACATTAATTTCTGTATTAATGCAAACATGAAAAAAATTATATCACTTTGCTACAGTGTGCTTACAAAAATGTAGTACATGCTTTTTTATTATCATTATTTATATATATATATATATATATATATATTGCAATGTACAAAACACATCTCTCACCTCCCAACCAATTTATTGTACCGTCTGACACTCACACGAAATTATTCCTTTTATATGGAATTTAAATTACGAAGTTTGAACATTTTGCCGTAAAACTTATCACAGTTTATTTATGTGCAGCACATTTCAACAGCCTCTGACATGTTGTCAAGCGCCAATGTAAAACCAGACTATAGAGAGGTGTTGCTTGTTATTTTTAATGCGAGTTTAAACAGCTTTGCACTTTTCACCACAACTAACAAAAATGCACTGCTTGTTTTGAGCCTATTTCACAGTTGAACTCATCTCTTTGTTTTGGAGAATATATGTCTAGATGTGGCTGGGGGCTTTTTGTATTGTAACACAATAATGCCTGCATGAGCTTGTTGTCTAAGAAGATGAATACTTTTTAGCAAGTCGACGCCATTTCCTTGTATAGATTTTCCATTAACGCAGCTCGTTCTGTCCACAGACTGCAGTTCTCTTCTTAGACTTGCAAATTTCTTTGGATACGCTGCCTATATTCTTTCACCATCTATCTTTTCTAACGGTTTTAATGAGTGAGTCCACTGCTAGGAGCAAACGTTGCGCATGTGGTTTAGGGCTGGCCTTGGAGGCAAAGCCAACATTATTTGTCAGTATAAGACAAGCCTCATCATTCCATTAGTGTATTTTTAATTAGAGATTCAGTTGCTGGCACACACGCGCCAATTCTTTCTCTCTTTGTGTTTCTGCACTCCAGAATTAAGCGAGCCTAAAATGACTCTAAATGCAGGGCGTTTTGAAAGCTGGCTCCTGTTCTAGCTGTGCTTTAATGACTGATTGTTAGCAAAACTCTTCCCTGGCCTCCTCTCCTGTTGTGCTGGACAATCAATTCTCAGCAATGGCTAAATAATTAAGGTGATATTAACTTCGTTAATGTAGTGTCCAATGAATGGACATCAAGAAAGCAAACACGTTTGATACAGATTGATTCCCATTAACCTTGAAATATTTCTGTCCAAACAAAAGGAAAAGTAATTAAACTTTTAGTGGGAAAGTCACACTTAATGTCTTTGTAGTTTTAATTGGCCACATCAATTGCAAATTATCCAAGCAACAATTAGTGACAAAACAGTATCTCCTAACAAAGGGGCATTGCAGACCATAGAGTTGGCCACTAGTGTAGTATAGTGTACGCTAGAATCATGGGCGGCGCTAGGGAGGGGCTAGCAGGTGCTTCAGCACCCCCAAGAAAGAGCAAAGCACCCCCATAGCACCCCCAAAAATGAAATAAAATAAAAGCATTTGACTCATAACGCATTCAACGTGACGTGATTTGCAGTCGCACTTTTTGTAACGTCATAGCATTTTATTTAAAAAATGAATCGGTTCCATGTGCCTAGTAGGTCTGCCCCCGACTAAAAAAATTTCTAGTCAACTAGTCGCATGTTTATATTAAATTGATTAATATAATAACCTGCTAAACCATCCTTTAGGCATATAGCCTATTCCGTGCTCAAGCGCGCGCATAAAGCTTGCCACAAAGCACCGGCAAAAGTAATGATTATATAATGTTTATGTAATGTGCCCGGGGAAAAGAAGACATTTTAATTATTTATTAATAAACTAGTGCTTTCTCAGTCAGTGTCGGCTGGAAAGATCCACATGGACGTGCCTTTAATAGCCTAGAGAGAAATGCACCTTTTACTACGGACTACATAATTAGAGAATATTTTTTATTATTTTTTATTGGTTCGTTCAATAGTAGACATTTCTCTTATCTGTATGACCAAAAATGACGGAGTAGCATATTCTAAGTTATTTCCGCAGGAAAAAAATGTAAGGGATTGCGCGGGCGCCTTCATGTCATGCAGTAAGCGCAATAATACTCCCACACTTCTCATAAACACTTGATATGCATATAGCGCATTTTAATCTAAACTAACGTCAGAGTGAACCACCTTATAGCAACCTTACTCCTTTTCATATGTGAGAGATCACGTGAGAGATCTTTGTCCTGTCTCCTACACTGTAAGACATATCTGAGAAGCAGCTGTGGCGATGCCCAAAACAGCAGCTTGGCACATTTTTCCAGAGAGAGCGAAGGCTCTGGTTTGAGATTGTAATTAAGCAAGTAAATATATCCCCAGTGCTTTTTGATGTCATATTGCCTTTGACTCGCATTCGGAAATGCTTGTTCAGTGAATTTTAGGCTGACTGTATAAAAATCTTTGGAAACTGACTGATCTATGTAGGCTACTTGTTTAATTTCATAAAACGAAAAATTGTAAGATGAGACAAATAATATCCCTTTAATAAAATGTTACAAAATCGAGTGTGCGATTTATTTTATTATTCATATTAATAATAATAATAATAATAACAACAACATCATCTTTTGGTCATGTTTACTATTAATTGCCCAGCTCCCCCTGTCAATGATCTAGCACCCCTTCAGCACCTGCATTCAAAATTCTCTGGCGCCGCCCCTGGTTAGAATACTAAACCAAATACAGCATTTGTTTTCTAGCAGAGAATGCAAACGGCATGTGAAAATGCTTTGCAGTGGCCTTAAAAACATAGCTGCACTTAAAAATATATGGATGTTATTGTATTACATAAGAAGATATAAAACAAGCACACATCGCAAGTATGGCATTTTCATTAAAAGAGGTTTGTTAGGTTTTTTAATTACGAAATCAAATATACTGTTAAAAATTAAGAGAAAAAAGACTTTGATTGTTAATGTAGAAGTTTCAACCAGAAAAGATTTTTGAATTCATTTAAAGTGTTTTATGCTCAGCAAGTGTGCATTTATCAAAAATACAGTACAAACGGTAATATTGTAAAATATTAACACCGTTTTAAATAATTTAATATATATTAAAATGTAATTTATTCCTATGTTGAATTTTCATCAGCTGTTACTCCAGTCCAGTCCCGTGTCACATGATCATTCTCATATGCTGATATGGTGCTTAAGAAACATTACTTATTATTATCAATGTTGAAATCATTTATGCTGCCTGATATTTTCATGGAAGCATGATGCATTTTTTTCCAGAATCCTTGGATAAAAACAGCATTTATTTGAAATCTATGATCATTTAAATACTTTTGTTATATTATAAATTATTTTACTGTGATTTTCTTATCAATTTAATGCATCCTTGCCTTTTTTTTTTGGAATGGTAGTGTACATCTAAGGGGAACTTCATGCATTCACTTAGCATTTCTTTGGGACTTGTTTACAAGAGAAGTTAGTAGTGAAAAGAGGTTGGGATCATTTGTTTCAAGATGTCCCTTTTTTAACATTTTGTTATGCAATTCAGTTACATTCCTACATCTTAAATGTGGCTTATAAAGTATCTTAATATGTTTTAGGGACACTATAAGACTGTAAAAAAATATATATTTAAATTAAGTTTTACATTTCAATGTTTAAATTATTTAGTCTAGTTTCATGTCATATATAAAACTATAATAAGTATCTTATTCCCCATAAGAAGTTGTTGATTTTGCAGCTCTGACACATTAATTACCCCCCACAGATAACATTTTGATAACCCTGCAGCATTTTTCCACAGGCGCACACACTCCCAGCAAGGGAATGTATTTTTTGGCCGGTCTCTCTCAGCGTGGTTGTCAGCTGCTATCAACACATCTACCTGTAGAACAGGAGTCTCAGATAAAGGAAATAATCCTTGATGAGAGTGCATGAGATCAACAGACAGAACTCATTTAGCCTGTCACTATCCATTATGGAGGTTTCCTGCAAAGGCTCTGAAGAAACTATCTGCCGGGCAAAGTTGCCGTATTTTTTCCGTGTCGCCAATTTAATTCCAGTATGCTACTGAACTGTTGTGCTCAGCTGTTTTTATGACTATGTTTGTGTTCATTTCACCAATGCACTTGAAATCAAAGATTATTGTTATGTGAATGTGCAGCATTTTTGTTTATATTGCTTTTTATTAAAGGTGATGTGTATTTTTTCCTGTTACAGTAATAATAATAATACATTTTATTGCAGTACTTTTCCCTATCATAGCTTAATAAGCAGAGAAACCTACAAGTAAGCCATTTATAGGTTGATTTCCCCGAAAAGTAAAAACACTTCTCAGCAGAGCAACAAAACATTGCTCAGTTTGTTTAAATAGCCCGACACACCAATATTGATAGCCTCAACCAATGAAGACAGTCTGGGGCAGGACATCCTGTTTCACCAAAAATGGAAGACAAAGAGAGGGTTCAGGAAAATCTTTTTGAAAACCGATTTGGTGGCCACAGAAATTATGCACTTCAAAAAGCTGTGAAAATGCAGTAAAAACAGTAATACTGAGATATTACTGAGAAATATATATATATATATATATATATATATACCCATTTAGTTGAGGAGGAGGAGGAGAACTCAAATTCTAATCAATAAAAATGCACATACAAAAAAGTGGTCATATGACCACAGGGGTCCATTTCATTTCCACTTTCAGGACATGTGCACATGTCACATGACTCCATATTTTCTCCAATGAAAAGTGCATTTATCATCACTTTTCATCCATATAATTGCCTACAAAAAATCTGAGTCACCTTATTTGGTAAGTAAAGAAGTAAAACTTCAAGCATGTTGACCTATTTTGGTCATGTATATACACACATGCTCTCTTTGCGTTTGTTTCGTTAGATTTGTCATTTGTAAATCCATTTTTAGCCCCTGTAATCCAGTCCCAAACAACAGATGAGCCTTGCCCGGCTCTCTCTGATTGATTCATTTGCTGAATGATTCAATATATAATACCTAATACATGACAGAACATCTGTTTTTGTTGATGACCAGCATATTAACCATTTAAGCTTTAAATACATACCTGACCCTAATTAGACTCTTCTAAATGAGCTTAATGGCTAAATCTGGTGGATAGCCAGTATTTTTTGTTATTTTTTTACAGCCTTGTTATTGATCAATTTAGTGCGCTCACTGTCATATGATCTTGTTGTGTCTCTTCAGGGACATGGCTGCCAGCATCGAAATTATGCAGCTAGACTTTGAGATGGAGAACTTCACCAGTCAATCAGTCACCAGAAGAATCAACTGGAATATTGATTACAGGGGCCAGAATCCAGCCTCGGATGCAGAGAAGGTGGTCACAGAGCTGACGGTTGTGCAGAAGGACATCCAAGCCATCATTCCACTTTCAATGGTAAGAAGTTCTTCCTCTCTGCCACCTAGGGTCATAAAGTTTGAGAAATGAGGTTGCACTTCAGTCTATTTTAAATGTAATTTAACTTATCGAACCAGTAGGTCACAACAATTACCGCCCGCTTTTTCAGCAGCCTTGGTTCTGGAATTATTTTTCCCTATTCTTTTCTTCATAGGCTTTTTATTGAATAGTTTAAGCCATAAATCACAAAATTTCATTGAAAGCAAAAAAAAAAAAAAAGGTTGTACAATTCAGCCTGCAAAATTCTGCAAACATTGTTGGATTTTGAAAATGATATGGAAATCACACTGAAGTTTGGGTCCTACAGATACATATACCATAGCTTAACACTAGAACCGCCAGGGGTCGCTGTATACCTAAAAGCGCCAGCGGGTAAATTTTACCCACACAAATGACAGCTGTTTTTGAATGGCTAAATAACATATTATTTCACTGTATTATGCTACTGTCTTCTCAATATTAAGCTAAACAAGCCTGCACTGACAACGAGAATTAGAAAGAAGTAAATACATATTTGGGTGGTGTAATAGGCTATTATAATACAATGTCATTAATCAATATGTTAAGATAACCTATGTTATTTAAATTACTAAAATAGTCTATAGACAATAATGAGCAATAATCTTTACTTATCTCCCCACCATCAGACTCTCCATCGCTCATGGCATTTAGTGCTTCTTATACCTCTTCATCATTCATAAATTGCCTTCTTTTACTCATGTCTTTATTTATGAAACTGATAACCGCTAATTCAGTGAGTGAAAGGCGTTGCCTAGCAATGTACAATGTTAAAACATAAGCGGCACGAAAATGACTGCGCGAACATACAGGCATTATATAGCGTGTACATTTGACTAAAGCTGGCGCTTATAGGTATAAATGCCCCATTTTTTGATCTGGTTTTATCTAAACAGTTTTTAACAACAGGGGATTGTAAATCACACAATTTTAGTAAAAGTCAGTGACTGGGAGACTTGAATGTCTTATTGAAAATCTTTATGTATGTTTTTAAAACAGCCACAGGTAAAATTTACCCCGTGGCGGTTCTAGTGTTAACAACCTTAGAGCTCAGAGTAGGCTGACTTTGATAGGTTTTGATAGGTTTATACTTTATCGCATGACATCTGTGGCCACACAGAATTGGAATGCCTGTCAATCGCAAAATACCATGCACATAACCCTTGTGTGTTTGTTTATTAATAATTTTTTGCCTATTTGATGAAAATTTCTGCTACCAATGAGAGTGCAGTGCTTTCATCTCCAAAATAAAGGTCAGCACATCCAATCTAGGACCAGTTCAATCAGTTATTAATATGAAAACTCTGAATGAGATTTCTTCTAAAACCCCTTTGTTCTGCTGAATTGCCAACCACTTACAACATTTACATTACCGTTAAGCAACTATATGGATTTTATCAGACATTAGCACTGTATAGGAATTCCAGCACTTCTATTTCAAGAGACACATTAAATATATATGATTATTGTTTGAGATTATATGTGGAAAATGGCCATTATTTTCACAGACAGTAGTTACTGAGCTGGTGCCCCTGTGAAAAAGAAGTGTGTGTTATTGTATTAAATGCGCATTTGTAGTACTTCAAATTTTAAAGGTATATTTTTAAAAACTGTCTGTGGAGATAATATCATATGTGATAATATAATAATATCATATCATATTAAATTAAAGGCCACTGAAGTGTGCTTAAAAGCACACTTCATGATTATGTTTGCTTTGTGTTATAACACAATTAAGTACAATTTTAAAATCATGTAATAAAAACTTTGTAATAATGTCAAATTAAATGTTTTACTTTAAATTACATTTTAAATAATATTTTAATACTCTTTAATAATCCTTAGTCATCCTACCCCTATTTTGATGTGTTGATTAAAATACTAAAGCACTAACTGTAACTGTGTTTGATAATTTTTACATTTGCAGGTAATATATTAAATATATTGTTGAATTATATTAAACATACTAAATTGCAATTTCATCAATACAAATGTGTAAATAAAAAATATGTACAGTCATGGCCAAAAGTTTTGGTTCACTGTTTTTTGATCCTGACACAAAATGACCAGCTAACATTAATTGACTTATCATATCAGCAGCAAAAGTGAACGTGTGAATGAGTACTAGTCAGGAAAAATCACTATCATACTAAATAGATTGTAAGAGCAGACTGATTGCTATAAAAGGAGGGAAGAAGTGCTTCCAGTCATTGTGTTCTTGTTAGCAGTGGTTACCTCCAAAGAAACACGTGCAGCCATCATCGCTTTGCAAAATGGCCTCACGTGCAAGGAAATTGCTACAAAGAATATTGCACCTGAAAGAACCATTTACCGGATCATCAAGAACTTCAAGGAGAGAGGTTCGACTGCAGTGAAGAAGTCTTCAGGATGTCCTAGAGTGTCCAGCAAGCGCCAGGACTGTCTCCTCCTGAGGAGTCAGCTACGGAATCGTGTCACCAGCAGTGCAGAGCTTTCTCAGGAATGGCAGCAGGTTGGTGTGAGAGCATCTGCACACACGGTGAGGCCAAGACTTTTAGACAACGGCCTGGTGTCAAGAAGAGTAGCAAAGAAGCCACTTCTCTCCAAGAAAAACGTCAAGGACAGACTGAAATTCTGCTGGAAGTACAAGGATTGGACAGCAGAAGACTGGTGCAGTTATTTTCTCTGATGAAGCTCCCTTCCGACTGTTTGGGACATCTGGAAAATCGATTGTTCGGAGAAGAAAAGGTGAACGCTACCATGAGTCCTGTGCTGTGCCAACAATGAAGCATCCTGAAACCATTCATTTGTGGGGTTGCTTTTCAACCAAGGGAGAGGGGCTCTTTCATAATTCTACCCAAAAACACTGGCATGAATAAAGAATGGTATTAAAACGTCCTGCAAGAGCGACTTCTTCCAATGATCCATGTGCAGTTTGGCAGGGTGATAAAGAAGTGGCTCGAAGATCATTACATTGAAATTTTGGATCTGTTGCCAGGCAACTCCCCGGATCTCAATCCCATAGAGAACCTGTGGTCAGTCCTCGAAAGGTGAGTGGACAAGCAGAAGCCCACAAATTGTGATCAACTCTGAGAACTAATAAGGCAAGAATGGTTCACCATAAGTCAGGATTTGGCCCAGAAGCTAATATCCAGCATGCCAGAGTGAACTGCAGAGGTTATGAAGAACAAGGGTCAACACTGTAAATATTGACTCATTATTTATTTTGTTGCCAATAAAAGCCTTTAAAACGTATGATATGCGTATCATTGTTTTTCAGTATACCATAGAAACATGTGGAAAAATAATCTACAAATAGTGAAGCAGCAAACTTTGCAAAACACAAAATTTGTCACTGCCAAAACTTTTGGCCATGACTGTAAGTACATGACATACACGTTTAAATAGAAATTAAATTATATTATAATTTACCATATATCCATGTCAGTACATTCAGAGGTACACTTTAATATGCTTTTAAAGGCAATAGAAGTAATTATGAAATTATTTAAAGTCGTACTTAAGTGGGTCAAACAGCATTCTTGCATTCAACTAATTGCATTTAATAAAGTGCAATTAAACTATTTTCATTTAATTTCAATTAACATACAAATAAGTGACCGAATAAATTACATTTAGTTTGTACTTAAGTATATTCTTTTGATGTATTTTACTTATGTAATATATGCTTTTTATAAAAGTATGCTGAAGTGTACATCTTCTTCACAAGGCTTTTCACATTATCTTATAAGTCAGGAAAAAAAAAAGATGAATTCACACTTTTCACTTTAGGTTTTTTTTAAAGGTAATAGGTCTCTGGAAAGGGCTAGAAAGGGTTCCTCATGCTTACCCACTTACTCCATAAGCACGAAACTCCATTGTTCACCTATCAAAATTCATCTTTGATTGTTTGGGGCCATTTGCCCTCCCCTGTAATATGTGTGTATGTTTAAACTCTAGCATGATTCAGTACACGGGGACCAGGTGCAGCAGAAAAGACACTTTGCTTCATGTAGAGAGGATTCTTTGACTTGGCAGTATCCTCCATCCCTCCCTGAAACCTATCGCTGTGTTTCAAAAGCCCAGCGCAGGCAGAATATAACGGTTCAAATAACAATAAGTGAATACAAAACAAGACAGTCATGAGGGAAATACTGAAAACTGCGGCAGAGCATGAGCCAAGGCCTCAATTTTTCACTACCTCCCTTCATGCAAACACACAAAGAATTTAAGAACAGATATAAGCTCAGTTCCAAAACCTAGTCAGCTGCTTCCTTAGGCAGCATTTTAAAAGCATAGTCGGTGGGCTCCAATATTTCTGCTTCCTAAGATACCTTATTTCGCCTAAATTCTAAGGTGGCACCACATTTATTATTTACAGAGAAGGAAATCCCAGAATGTACTGCGACAAACTGCATAAAAAATAAATCAAAGATAGTGAGAAAAATCTTTTTTATAGTTAATAAAATTAGCTTCTTGTTTTATTAAAAGATTGTGTCATTCTCGGTTTATTAAAATCAGTTGTAAAGTTTTGTTATTTTTTTGTACATTTGTGAATATGTAGACCATTCCAAATCAGTCATTACAAGGGTCTATATCAGTCAGCAGACAGCGAGGCGCCTCACAAGGTTTTGGGTCGGAGCTTAAGTGTTAGACACACGGATGTGAGTGTTCAATAGCTGGAAAATATGTGATATACATGATATGCGATATGTGTTTATGTGGGATTTATGCATGAAAAGACCTTCTTTATACATTTTCTAAATACACAAGAGGTCTGCTCCCCCTCATTGGGGGATTTGCAAGTAGGAAGCAATCAGTAAGGCTCATATAAGAGGTGTTTATAGACACAACAATGACTATATGTTGCATGCCAAGCACATGAAATGAATCCTGCACTGATTTAGGCAAGCAAATCCAGCTTCATACACCCACAGACACGTCCACATTCAGAGCATCTAATGAGTATCCCATACAGAGCA